CATCTCCGTCAAGTTGGTGTGGCCGTAAATGTGAGACCCGATCGGGTTATCACGATCCCAGACACCGTGAAGACTATACATTTGATTAGTCGAGGTTCGAGAAGGGTGGCTGTCAGGGTGTCTACAGGGAGACTAAGAAAAGAAGAAAGAAATCACTTACTCATATGACATGACGTTGACAAAGTCGGTATAGTCAATTGACTTGAGATCAAAGTGGCGTAGATACCAGAAACTCGTTGGCGCTGTGTAGGATACAATGTACTTGACGGGCTGCTTCTTGTTCTCCTCTTCGAGCTCCTTGAGAAATTGGGTGAAGTTCTCGCCATCCTCGGGGACACCACCGCGATCGTCCGCGCCAGGGTACTCCCAGTCAAAGTCGACACCGTCAAAGGCGTACATGCGGAGGAAGGACATAAGGTTGCCGATGAATTTGGACCGGTTGGCTTTAGTGCTGACCATGTTGCTAAACACCTTTTGCAAAGGGCCCGGATCATTGTGCGTCCATCCGCCAATGGCAATAACCATTTTAAGGGCAGGGTTCTTCTTCTTGAGGTTGGTGAAGTCCGTAAACAGTTTATCGGGTAGGTTGTCCATGCCCACGATCTGAAAGTCCGGCATGATAAAGGCAAAAGAGAAGTACAAATGAGTCAGGGAGTTAACGGGGATGTCGTTCAATCCCTATCTCAAGGTTAGTGGGACATACACTTTGGTAGGGATTATAGTATACTTACCATATCCTGACATTTGGAGTCGTGCCTCCATGCCTCGTAGTATCCAATGACACGGTTGAGCTGGTTGGAAGCCTTGTCCTTGGGACCTGGTTGATCACAGTTGGACTGACAACCGCCAGTGGCTCCATGGTCCTCTTTTTCACAGAAGTCCCTATAGTTCACAATCGTCAATACTGGTCTGCTCCATCATCTTTATACTCTGCACCTGTACATACTTTGTCATTCCGCAAAAACCCCACTTGCCACAGCAGACATTCAGGGGACATTTCTGGCCGGGGATAGCTGCGTTTTTGCCGCACTCTGCCTTGGCATCGCAGTTGGACCAGCACACCTCATTGGGAGAGATTCCAGATGTGCCGCAGGCTCTATTATGGGGGAGAAGAAATTATTAGCCTTCTTCCAGAAAAATAGCAGAAACAACAGCAACAACAAGCGCAAGAAAAGAAATGATTCAACGAGCCACGCGACTGGCAAAAGGTGGAAGGGAAACCTACTCCTCGCCGTAGTTGCACTGGCCAGTCTTCTTGGGACAACAGGCCTTGTTCTTGCAAGGGCGGTCGGGACCGCATGTATAGTCATCGCCGCCAACTACCTGTCTACCAAACAGCGAAGATAGCTCGGTGCGTCCTACCAAGGACACGCCGGTCTCGAGTGGCTCGGGGGCGATTTCTCGCCCGTCAGCGTCAACGACACCGCTATTCTCGCGAACAGCAACATGACCGGGGCTGTCAGCACTGCAGACTGGCAACTCATGGTCACGACGGTTCTTGGCCGAGTAATCAAAGGGTCTAAAATTTTTTCATGGCGGGTCAGCAAATTGAGATATACTGGTCCAGGTTGAGTTACATGGCTGAGGGTACTTTACTTACGAGATGACGGCGCGGCACGCGCCAGGGAGTTCGGGCACCACAACCACGCCGGCGCTACCAGGCCTCGATGTGATGACTGCTCCAATAGACGGGGTAATGAATGTAGAAAGAAACAGAAGGCTTAATGAGAGCTGAGACCATGGTCCCATGGTTGCGTTTAGGGTTGAGCTTTTGAGAGCTCTACCCAGTAACAAAAGAATGATATTCAAAAGAATGTAGTCCCCGATAAGAGAGGGAAGGGGAGTTGAAGAGCTGAGAAGACTAGGAAAAAAGGAACATTTTCAAAGGCAACAAGCAAAGCCAGCTAGCCTAGATATCTTTAAAGGGATTTCGACCAGGAAGTCAGAGAGAGAGAGAGCGCGCGCTGCAGAGAATGTTGTCTGACAAGAGAGCTTGAATGGTGTACTGGAGCAACTCAGTCCCAATCTCAATTTCAAATCCCCTTGCTCTGCATATGCTCCGGAGGCGAGGCTGGGCCCAGACCGGCGATGGTTCGGCTCTTCTGCACTCTGCTGCAGGTACGGATACACCGGGGACACGTACTAGATGCGGCAAGCAGGGTCCTGACAGGGCTAACAGGGGTCTGATGTCGATATTAAAAGGCCACCGTCCTATTTTTCCGTTCAGCCTGCTCGAAGGTGGTTGCTCAACTTTGCCTCTTCGGTAGAGAGGGCCCCCGTCAGAGTAACATTTCGTGTGATATCGTGCATACTGCTGAAGATGCAGTATGCTAAAAAGCGGGCCGCTCCTTCAACCCCTGCATGAACCCTCCATGTAAGCAATAAGCAATTAGGACCCTGTCTCGGCGAGAAGGTTAACGGTTCGTCTCCTTCCATCAGAAACATTTCCATTTTAGGCAGGTCTTGGTAGATTGTGTATTCTATCACATCGAGGATGAGTAGGCAACGAGTAAAAACTAGTCCCATTTTAAATCAAGTCTATTTTTTTCGCATACTAGCCACATGATACTTATCATTTGGCAAAGATCATACTGTTAGGATATGATTGGCTAGCAAAACGTATGCTGTGTATCCCACCTATTATCAACTAACCCTCGATGGGGAAGTACTTAGATCCTTCTGCTAACGTCGCACACCCACTTCTCGCACACCCCCACATTTCGCACACCCATAAATTGGGTCATCATGAGGTATTCATCAACTTCATAACTATAAGTCTGATTCGTCTCCTGCAACTGTGATACTATCGCCAGTTTTAATAGGTAATTCAGGCTCGCTAGATTCATCTGAGCTATCCTCAATTTCGCCAGCCTCAATTTGGGCTTTGTGAATTGCCTCAATGTTGGCAAACTTCGAATTTGGGCTCATTTGGACCTTACGCCGCTTCCGTACCATTCCAGCCTCAACTTCTGCTTCCAACATTGCAATCTTCTTCTCTGCTGTAGCCAATTGATAGTCCTTTTCATCAAATCCCTTTTGAACCTTCCGAAACAACAGTCGCTGCGTTTGCTGATCTTTATCCAACTTGCTGAATAAGCTAAGTTGATCATATAGATCAACTGTCTTCTTGGGCGTTGACCAGGCTACTATGGATGTAGCAGATGCCCAGTTTTCGTCTTTTCCACCATCAGAGGCCCTCATAGGCGTAGAATAGCCTGGCTTTGAGGGCTTGGAAGCATTCTCAAGCAGTAGAGGGCTCATGAGCGGTCGAGCTATCGAAATGGGCCATAGTCCTGTTGCTTTCCAGCCGCTTCTGATATTCTTGCTTGAAAATGCCATCTGGCGTGCTTTTCCATAGCAGGTAAGAAAGTTCCGTTTGCCTACAACTGTAGAATCGTTGTGTTGAATGAGGTATCCAAGCTCTTTTCGATAGGTCGCCTTGAGAGGCCCAAAGACTGCTTGGTCTAGAGGTTGGAGAACGTGGGATGTATGTGGCGGTAGGAAAAGGAGATATATCTTGTGTTTATAACAGAGATACATAAATTCTGTTGTTTCATGACTGCCATGACCGTCTAGGATCAATAGTCTCTGCTCAGAGGGATGATCAGGCTTAGTCAGAGGGATAAAGATGTTCTCAAGCCATTCCACAGCTGTAGAGTCTGAAGTCCAGCCATTCTCAGTTGCTGTGAACTTCCAACCACTGTAAATATCACGTTTATGGATATCAAGAGGAAACCATTGTTGTTGAACCGATTTCCCTCGATAAATAACAAGTGGAGGAAGCGCCTGACCAGTTGCAGAGACACACTCAAGCATAGTTGTCCAAGCCCGAGACCCAGGCTGTTTTTTTCGCATTGATGAGCTTTCTGATGATCCCAGTACTAAGCCATTTGATCCTCTGCCTTCTAGGATACCAGTTTCATCCATGTTATAGCGATGATGTGGTTTGATCGCCTTGATCTCTGGAAGGGCGAGTTGTTGAAACCATTGCCTGATTACATTAGTTGAGGCCCCATTGACACGCTTAGAATCGATGGCTCTAGCTCTATGAACCTTGATTGATGGATTTCTCTTAATAAAGAACTGAATCCAGTTTCTCCCAAGTGGCTGGGTAGTGCCTCTGATGTCTAGGATTCGCTGGGCAAATTCCTTGAGTTGTTGATGTGTTGGCGGCAGCCCTAACGCCGCCTGGATACGCACCCATTCAGCTAAGTGACTTTCCTGTGCTGGAGATAGCTTCTGGAAGCTAGAGAAAGCTACATTTCTTGCCTGTGAACCCTTTAATCGAGACTGGAGGGTTGATGGTGGAATTCCAGCATCATGAGCTGCCTTTCGGACACTCTGCCCACTTGCAACTGCATTGAGAGCTTGATTGACTTCTGTTTCCGTATACTGGCCCATTAAGCGTATAAGAGTAACTATTCAAAGAATTATAATAATCGCTGTAAAAGTGGTGAAGATATTAAAGAATGTTGAAGAGGGTAAAATTCTACATGAGCGATTTATGGGTGTGCGAAATGTGGGGGTGTGCGAGAAGTGGGTGTGCGACGTTACCCTATAATGTCCCACGGAGCCTGGATTGATGATCCTTGGCTTGTTGAAAGCGGGCTTGTGACCCTTTCTCTTGCATCGGGCGGTTCTGTCCGGTCTCTTCTCGGACAGGACGGCGACAAGTCGGATTAGCTGAAATCCCTTTGACCAAGTTTCCATCGGTCCTGGGCAATTGTTCTGGACTACTGTTGTTCTGTAGCCATTGCCACTTTCTGACTTACTTATCATTCTTGCAGTCGCCTGTTGCTTCTTGTGTCTGGGTAGACACAACACGCCCTTCCTCCTTTTGTTTGGATGTCTTAGTCTCCTCCACTCACTGTTCATTCTTTTAACTCTTGGTGAGAGAGGCAGGAAAACACGATCCCCGAATCATGGTGGCCTTCCGCCATTGTATCCTTGGGCTCGGGGCTCTTCTGGGCCTGAGCCCCAGCTCGGTCTCTGCCGTCAAGATGCTCTACGAAGACAGCCTTCCCGAGGATCTCGATGCAGCATGTTCTGCGGCCCTCATGGCTGATGTTGCTTGCGATCCTCTCGTGCCGGCCCTCCGTCATGACTTCTACTACCCTCCTGTGACACTGACACGTGTGTGCACCGCTGGCTGCGCTTCTGCGCTCCAGTCGTGGGAGAGCTCGGTCCGGTCTGCCTGTGGCAACGACATTGTCATTCCTGCCGAGGATGACTTTGACGCATCACCTATTGTGATCCCGGCCAGCCGCCGGTACATCTATAGCTTCACCTGTCTGAAGGAGAACAATGTCTTCTGCGGCCCCGTTGCAGCGCTGGCAGCTTTCTTCACCGATCCTGGAGGTAAGTAGCCTCCCGCTCCGCTAATGAGCTCGGACTTGATTTGATGGCCAATTTCTTCCTTTCTAGCACATTTTTACTAATAACTTGCCAGTTTCCGTCTTCAACTACATCAACGAACTTCCCCAGGGCGCTGCTAAGCCCGCGGATTGTGACCCTTGTCTCGCAGCCAGACTGCGCCTGCGATCTGGGTCGCCCTACTTTGACGGCCCCGTTGTGGCCAGCGAGTCTATCTACCAAACGCTGACATCCAGCTGTGGCATCACGGGCAAGCCTGCTACTACATCTACCATTGACTATTTCACCACCGAGCCAGAGCCCACCAAGTCAGTCTGCGACGGCACCATGTATCAGATCCAAGGCGGTGATGATTGCTACAGTATCTCCAAGGCTCAGAGTGTCGGTACAGCTTGGATGCTGTCTGACAACCACCTCGGTGCTTATTGTTCCGAGTTCCCAACTTCGGGTAGTCTCTGCATCACCAACACGTGCAAAACTGTCACAGTGGCTGTCAACACGACGTGCACAGCCATCGCCACGGCTGCGAACATCACAGAGCCACAGCTGCTGGCTTGGAATCCTGTCATCAACCCGGTCTGTTCCAACCTCGATATGATGAACGGCACCACGCTCTGCATCGAACCACCCGGACCCAAGCTGCCGCCCGCCCAAACGACGGCTGTTCCTCCATTAACGCCTACCACTGCTGCTCCGATACCCTCCAATACTGCTATTGGATCTGACAAGCCCTGCGGCCGATGGTACGAGGTTGAGGCTGGCGACTATTGCAACCTGGTGACTCTCAAGTTTGCCATTTCTCTCGAGGACTTCATGTTCCTCAACACAGGCATCAACTCCAACTGCACCAACCTCTTTGCCAAGGAAAGCTACTGTATCCAGGCGGTCGGTGACATCAATAACTATCCTGGCCGTCCCGGACATGTCTCCGTCACCATTGACCCCAACGAATCCTTCACCGGCGTCCCCTTCACCATGCTGCCCAACGCCACCATGACCCTGGATCCAAGACCGACCCAGCTCCCGTTGGCTACCGGCGTTCGCGACGATTGCTTCTTCTACTTCAAGGGCGATGAGTACCAGTACTCGCCTGATGTCTTCGGCTTCTGGAACAGCAACTGCGAGATTGCGGCGTCCAACTACAATGTTGACTTTGACAGCTTCATCGCCTGGAACTCGCTCACAACAAACGTTACGAACCCGTCATGCGTGTTCCAGGTCGGCCTGCGGTACTGCGGCTCCTGGGGTCTGCCGCCCACACAAACCACCACCGAGGACGCCGAGCCCACTGGGGCCGGACCACAGCCGCCAGGGCCCACGCACGAAGGCCAGCCGGCAGACTGTGACGGCTGGCATGTCGTATCCAGCAGTGACTCGTGCCAGTCCGTCGCCGACAACGCCGGAATTTCCCTTGCGACGTTCCTCGAGTGGAACCCGGCCGTCAGCGCCGACTGTACCGTGAACTTCTGGCTCGGACAGGCCTATTGCACGCATAGAGAGGGCCAGGGCATCAGCATCACGGCCTCGCGGTCTGCTTCAACCACGGCGTCGACGACGGCCAAGCCCACCCCCCCGGCTCCCACGCACACCGGCCAACCTGCCAACTGTAACAAGTGGGACGTCGTGGTAAGCGGCGACAGCTGCGGCTCCATGGCCGCGGACAATGGCATTACCGTGGACCAGTTCTACGCTTGGAATCCGGCGGTATCCAAGGACTGTGTTACCAATTTCTGGCTTGGGCAGGCGTACTGTGTCGGCGTATCTGGGGCTGGTTCCGGTGTCACAACAACGAGAGCCTCTACCCCCTCTACAACGGCAGCCCCGACCCCTCCAGCGCCAACGCACACGGGCCAGCCCTCAGACTGCAACAAGTGGGACGTCGTGGTAAGCGGCGACAGCTGCGGCTCCATGGCCGCGGACAATGGCATTACCGTGGACCAATTCTACGCTTGGAATCCGGCGGTATCCAAGGACTGTGTCACCAATTTCTGGCTAGGGCAGGCATACTGTGTTGGCCGATCTAGTGTCGGGGGCACCCCTACCACGACAGCGAAGCCGACGACAGCGAAGCCAACCCCTCCAGCGCCGACACACACGGGTCAGCCATCAGACTGCAACAAATGGGACGTCGTAGCAAGCGGCGACAGCTGCGGGTCCATGGCCGCAGATAACGGTATTACCGTGGACCAGTTCTACGCTTGGAACCCGGCGGTATCCAAGGACTGCGTGACAAACTTTTGGCTGGGGCAGGCATACTGCGTTGGCCGATCTAGTGTCGGGGGTACTCCAACTACGACAGCGAAACCGACCCCTCCAGCGCCGACGCATACGGGCCAGCCGGCTAATTGTAACAAGTGGGATGTTGTGGTCAGCGGCGACGGCTGCGCGTCCATGGCTAGCGACAACGGCATCACACTTGATCAATTTTACCGCTGGAACCCTGCCGTCTCGAGGGACTGCGTGACAAACTTCTGGCTCGGCCAGGCGTACTGCGTTGGTGTTTCCAGCTAGAAACAACCATTGTAATCTGTCGTATGACTTGATGCTACACGGAGGTAGGAGAACATAATTTCGCGGAGACTTGCGTGGGGTGGTAGGATACCCTGCCATATGTGAAGATATGGTCATCAGGGATGTATTTTCGTGTAAAGTAAATGGTTTCGTTTTGCAGCTGGAGTTGTAATTTTCTCGTTAATTTTAGTGGCACGTGGAAGGACTTGTCTCAAAAGTGGCAAACGAATCTTAGTATAGATCAGAGCTGGGCCGAGCGCTAAAGGGCCGGCCGGGCTTGGCCCGTTGTGCGACAAGACCCCACCCCGGCCGCGCGGCCCCGGTCCGACATGCTGTGGGTTTCTCGGAAACTGGTATCAGAAATCCTACCAGCTTAGTAGCCTTCGTGTCACTCGTAACTAAAGAATACTTACGAAAAGAGTGAAAAAAAAAAAAAAAGGGGGGGGGGGGACCTTATTTTCACATCGGAAGAAGCATTCTTTCGCAAAGCCAATCGCATTTGTCAAGACAGCGATGTAAAAGTTTATACCTTAATCAAGAGTAAGGACCGTCTCTAGATATACACCAGTTATCCAAAGTATAAGACTTTGCCCCAGAACTAATCGACATTTTTGATACCTTTTGTCTCTTAAGAAACTCTGTAGATCTACTAAAAAGTTATAGACAGTCTAACTAACCACGCAGTGGAGTATTAAGTAAGCCATACCCTTTGCCCATAACACATTCTCGGGCAACACTGTTGATGCTGAGACGCATGGTGAGCGCTAGGCCCCAAGTTGCGAAGGGCAGGAACGGGTCGCACATTGAGAATAGTGTCCAATTCTGTCATCAGCGTGCGCACATAGTTGGAACGCGTCATGAATTGCAGTGAACTAAGCGATCTGTATCTACCTTGTCCCAGACCTCATGTATGCATGCTCTGTCTTTGGAATAGAAGGCAATTGGGTGCTACCTCAGGAATCCACATAGACCCACCTACAAGCGACCCCCCTTCAATAGGTAAGCTCGGATCAGCCCAAACCCCCTTCTTTCAATATCCGCCACTGAACGCTCATTCAAGATGGGATAAGCGCTCTATTTCTTCCTTGCCCAAGTGACTCCTGCATGACGCCAAGCCACATGTAGCTGATATATAACAGCCGTTTTTACTCCTGCATTAAACCATAGATTTAATTTCCTCCTCTCCCTCAACTCACCCTCTACTTCCCCCAGCCTCACGAAGCAAAGAGTCAACTCCAATACTGATTCATCACATCATATCAATCAATATGCCGCTTCGCGAGACCGACCCAGATTTCGAAAGTGAGATCTTTGAAAAGGTCAAGGCAGGTCTCGAGGCCGCCCGCAACGCAAACTTTGCGGTTTCCGAATATGATCTCCCGCTGCCGCTCCTCCTCGTCGACGAGTATGCGGAGAAGTCATTGCCGTGTCATGAACCTGCCGAAGAGACCATCGCTATCAGCGCCCACATGTCGGAGCGCATCCATGCCTTTTACAAGCAGATTGCCGCCGCCTATAAAGGCATCGAGGATCCGCCGGCCAGCATCGGCATCAAGTTTGAAATTCAACCACAAAACTTTGGGCCAGAGGAGCCGTCATGCCACCATCGCAGGTATCACTCGCGTCGCCTGCAGCTGAACGAACCCGAGGCACTGCCAGATCTGCCCTTTGTGAGCAGCCTGGCCATCAGATCAAGGGCGTACGGCTCTGATGCCGAAAATGCGACAGACATACGCCCTCTTTCTCTCCTCGTGCCGCTACAGTGCCTCGTCCACCTGCCGGCTGTCCAAGAGTGGAATGCCCCATGGTTGTGGGAGCGGCCCATGCCCGCCTCCATGCCGAGTAGGGTGATGCGCGAGCACTACACCTGGCCATGGGAAGGCCCTCTGCGAGACGCCCGCCACGAATTCGGCGCCGCCATCATAGACCAGGAGAAGCATCTCTGCGGGAAAAGAATCCCCGCCAGTCTGACCAGGGCCGCACTGCACTTCTGGCCATTCTTTTCGCGCCCCAAGGATGACCAGTCTGTAGCCCGGCCGAACTTGATCCATCCAGCGGATAAGGACCCCGTGTCTGTTGGCCTGTGCAAGCTCGGTGCGCAGCTAAGTGTATTCGACGTGCGTGCTGTGGTCACTCCAGACCTGTTCCCCAGTCCTGAGACACCAGCCGACCAGCAGTGGTCACAGATGCGGCGATTCCGGCTCGAGTTCCATTCCCTCCGTCCAGACGGGCGGTGGTACTTTGTCGGCCCGGGTGGCGAGGATCCACACGACTCTGAACAAGGAGGGTACAAGATCTCAGATACAGAACACTACCCCCGCGAAACCGACACGGACGAGGACATGGAACTTGATGCCGAGTTCGGCGACAACCCGGACGACGAGTACGATCACTATCTAGACATGTTCCGCACCGAGCCTTGCAGAGAGCGGATCGAGCCTCTGCTTGCAGCATTTGCCAAGTCTCTGACTCGCGACAATATGCCGACCCTCGAGGACGCCGAGATTTTCACGCACCTGTGGTGGGACCCTTCAGACGACAGAGAAGTCGATGAATATGATCTGCCGATGAGAAAGGGCCACAGATGGGGTGTCAAGTTCATTGCCGGGCGTGGTGGCGAGAAAAAAGACGGTGATGCTGCTGCGGCGGCGGCTACACCACCAGTTGTGCAGTGGCAGGTTGGTGACTGGAGACCTAGCGAGGAGGTCATGAGTCTGTTCGAAAGCCTAGGACGACAGGAGTGGCTCGATCTTGAGTGGGATAAGTATAGATCTACTGCAGGGCACGACTTGCTGGGAAATAGCGAGTCTTCGCCCATATAGTCGGGCGGGCAACTAGAATCAGAGCAAGTGGCCTGATGCCTTGTTAGAAATGGCTGGTTGAATATGCAATCGCAGCAGTGAGAGGAAGGGAACGTATGGTCCTCATCATCGCGTCAGCATCCTGAAGAATTCCGCATATAGTCATCTCAGTCAGCAGATGTTCAAGATGAACAGCATCAGTTGGAAGGTAGCAGTGAAAATAATACACGTCATGTTAACGCTGCAAGCTTTTGCCAAGACAGATTTGTCCTGGGATTCGTGTAAAGTGGGTAAAAGTTGCGCTGTGCTGACAACTGCCTGTATTCAACCTACACGGGCCCTCTTTAAATTACTTTACATGGACATAATAAAAGTTTTATACACGAAGGACGCAGCCGCCAAGTGCTTCCGAGTGTCATTGAAATTGATGACTCTCCATTCATTCATTAATTTAATCGTGCTTGTTAGAATGACCTGCCAGTGTAGGCAGCAAACATCTCAAAAACAAGCGATATGCTGATGTCTCCTTCCCAATGTAGTAAAGACGTCGCTTTGAAAACGATGGCTTATCTCATTACCTCGAGTCATAGTGTTGCCTCTGGATTTTTCACAATTCTCATTGGGTTTATCCCGCTTGTTTTGGGGGAGTACATCGACTTTAGTAGTGTCCATATCACTATGAAGGATACCTCTAAAGAAGCTTATTACCATGTAATATCTTCGATACTGCATAAATGTATTCCGTCTAGTTCAGAGGTTATAAGCTCTTTTATTTTGATCTTCAATATTTAGTGTCTAAGATTAAGCCACCTCACCTCAAGTAGTTGCTAGTAAGTCACACAACTAGTAATTGAATGCAGTCAATCTAGTGGCGCCGGGATCTGGCTCGCAACTGGAATGGCCTCTAAAGTAGTTTTATCATTAGTAAGGACGAGCTAGCATCAGGTTGCACAGAAAAGTTTTGAACAGAGGGCTATAGGGAGCAACAACTGCCATGTCTATCCTAGCGTCCCTAGTATACTCAGTAGATCCAATACACGCTTTACCCTTCATTGGATTGTTGACCATCAGTCAACCTTTGGCTTTCTTGAAGAATCTTTACATGACTTGCTCTGACGTCCTAAGCGAAACACCATGTTTAGCCTGTACATGCCGTGTGAACGCATCCAGGTGTGATGTATCAGTAAGCCCACCTCTCTGTTGGAGCGAATAAAAGAATGTGTTTAATCCAATAAAAACTCTGTCTAGTAGAGTTCAAGGGTTTTACATCCTATTCCTTGCGTATGATCGACGTTTGAACGAATTTGTGTAGACCTCGTTATTTCAATATTGGAGGGAAACCGGATGCATTAGTTGATGTTAGATTGACGCCTGCGTCCGGATAAAATGCTAGGAAATCTAGCTTAGTTGCATTCTTGCAATATGCTGAAACCGGGAAGAACGGGTAGATACAAAACAGAACCCCGCTTCAACTGGAATGGGTAGAATCACTCAATCAACAACATGAATCACTCTTTGCTCAATGAACCCCAGGTGTATTGCATCAAACTAATATCGTTTATCTAACAATTAAGAGTCTCATATCGCTCGAGAGCCAGTTACGCGCATGGAAAGATACGATGTCGAGTGGCAATACCTCATCTAAGAAGGTACTACTACGGACCTTTGAAGACTGGGGCCGTTGGGACGAAGAATTCCAAACAAAAGCTATAGGCTTGCATTTATGGGATTACATCAATCCTGAAAATGATGGAGCTTTAATGGAAAAACCTGCGAGACCGACAGTTGAATCCTATAATCGAAAGATTACTCGAGCTACCGACCCGGAGCAACTGTCCCAACAGGGGAGACAGACCCGCCACAGTGGCCAATCGAGTCAGACAGTTAGCCAGTCATCTGCGGGCGACTCCCTACCCTCAGCAACTGAGTCAACTGACCCACACCTCCATGCTCGAAATCTATCCGAACTTACTGCGGACGACAAAGCCTCCTTTACGTTCGAATGGAGGGTTTACGAACAAGACTACAAGGAATACAAAGAGCAAGAAGCAAATTCTGAGAAGCTTAAGGCTTGGGTTATTGATACGGTTGACTATGGCTTACGCCAGAGCTCTTGCCGCGCTATATGGGATTTGAGGACATGGTACTCCAACCTACAGACGAGTGTAGGCGCTACTGAAAGAGAACAACAAGCTGCGGCTCGTCGAAAGTACCAGGCAGCTATAACAACATTGACTAGGGTACCTAAAGACTTCGCTGGATGGATCACTTCCTGGGAAATGGCGGCAAACCATGTGCTCGTGAGGAAAACCGGAGGCGTGGAAGACCCCAATATTTGGTTCGACGATTTGACCAAGGCCATCCAACCAATTCTAGGAAGTTGGGCAGCTATATATGCTGGAATCTACAAAAACAAACTTGAGGAAAAATCATTGACGATCGGAGAGGTTGCAAAAGACCTCAGGAAGGAAGCAGAACGTCGAGATCTTCTTAGCTCGCGAGAGAAAGGTTCCCAAATAACCAAAGGCGTATTTGGCCCAACCTTTGCCGCAGACCGCGACAATACATCTTGGACGGAGGCTGAAACGCATAACGAAGAAGGGAGCCAACCTAGTCAAGACCAAGTCAACAGCCGAAAGCGAAAACGCACAGTCACCACACGGAGCACTAATATAGTGTGTAAAGCCTGTGATGGCAATCACGCTCTAGAAAACTGCTACTATGTGTTTTCTAACGATGCACCAGACTACTTCAAGGGCAGGAAATTAATCCGTGATGCGGTTGAACATCGACTTAAGAACGACGCATCTCTCAAGGATGAAATCAACCGCATCAAGAAAGTCAAACACGTTGAAGCTACCGATTGACTAGGACGAAGTATTGGAGAGTACACAGCCAGCTTCGTTGTCTCTGCGTTTAATTCGATGTCCTGCACTACATACTACCCATTGAAGAATTCGGCTCTTCTTGACTCAGGGTCAACAATACATATCTTTAATAACTTCAACCGGTTTAACAACTTCCGTCGATCGGAGGCTGGGGATTTCATCCTTGCTGGAGAAAGCAGAATTCCTATCCAAGGATACGGGAATGTGAACATACAAACCCAGGGACCGAGAGGACCAAGAATAATCCAACTGAACGATGTCGCACTATGTGGAAATTTCCCTTGCAATCTGGTATCCCTTAGACAATTAAGAAAACGCGGATATTAGTAGGACAATCGTCTTCGTTCTAACTACATAAGGTCATTCGATAACTCAATCGTATGCAAGGTTATGGACCGATATGACCAATTCGTCATCGAAGATATACCTCCTAACACGCCGAATACTGCATTCGTTACTCGAAGACACAAATTGAACTCCTGGACAAAGAAAGGTGCTATGAAAGCAGACGCAAGGAGGTGGCATCTTCGACTTGGACACCCAGGACCTCAGGCTCTGGAACATCTAGTTAATACCTCACAAGGGGTCCGGATAAAAGGACTAACCACGGTGGAATGTGATGGATGCGCACTTTCCAAGATGAAGCGTCAAATAAGCCGTCAACCACGGAACGTAGGCTACGGCCCGGGTGAGCGATTAGCAATCGACTTTCATGACCTTCCAAAAGACCCTATAGGCAGAAGTAGCGTAATGCTAATCACGGACCGCTGGTCGGGAATGATTTGGGACTACTACCTTGCGGAAAGAAGAATAGGAACGATCAGTACTGTATTGAAAAACATAACCGGCATACTCGAACGACAATACCAAATCAAACCAAAGATTATCGAATGCGATAATGAAATCGTGACGGGAGGAGTTGTATCTGTATTACTTCACTCCCAACATATCAGAGTCGAAGCATCAGCTCCAAACACCCCAGCACAGAACGGAGGAGCTGAGGTGTCAGGGAGAATTATCAAGGCGAAAGCGCGGGCTATGAGGATAGGAGCTCGGCTGCCAGAGCATCTGTGGGTCGAGATTTACCGTGCAGCTGTATATCTGTACAACCGGACGCCAAAGCATATGTATAGCTGGCGAACACCGTACGATAGATTTTACACCGCCCTAGCGCACAGAGACGGGGTTGCGGTCCAAGACCGAAAGCCATACCAAGCACACCTACGTGTCTATGGATGCAAGGCATATGCTATGACGACGGATGCTCAATTACAACGGAAGAAAAGGCAAAAGTTGAACCCAAGAGCATGGATCGGTTTTCTTGTGGGGTACCAGTCAACAAACATTTATCGAATATGGAACCCTCAGACTGGAAGAGTCGTCGGAGCAAGAGACGTTATTTTTAACGAAGACGAATTATTTAACGGAAACTTGAACCAATTAAGAGATGACCTCCTTCACGTCGGACAGCAAGAGCTAATCAATTTACTTGACCAGGTTGAGGAACCAGAAACAGACCGAAATATGATAGCAGAAGAAGACCACACCGGTGCCTTTATACCCCAAACAAATTGGGAGGGCCTTTATGGAGAAGACGAGGACGTCGGAACCCAGCTCAGTTGGGAAGATGCCGTTCTCCATGAAGTAGAAAGAGATACAGGAGCTGAACAGTTGGAGGCTGAGTCTGATCAACCAGCTGGTACCGACGAAGGCTCTGGACAAACCGGGGACGCGGAAGTCGACCTGGGGAAACCAGAAGGCGGCACGGGAGACCAGGCAGAAGCCGGCACCGATGACCAAGCCAAGAATTCTGATGCCCAGAGTCGTCCGTACCCATCCCCTGTGTCTCTTCCACCGACAGCACTTCTAGCTATGACGATTCGGGATGATTCGGAATTCCTACAAGCAAATGCTCAGAAAGGTGAAAGTTTATATGATGTCTTTGAAGCATGGAAGGCAGCGTTTGCGGCTGGACGACAGGCCACGCCGGTGGGCATCTTTGAAGGAAAGCAGATCGACAAAGCAAAGCTTCAACGACTGTTAAAGAATCCAAGTTGCCTACACAGGCGGCAGATGCCTCCGTTACCGCGAAGCCATGCTGATCTTAGAAACCACCCCATGGGTACGCTATTCGAGACGGCGGAACAACAACATCTACGCAGTCACGCCGAGATGAAATCTTGGATTGAAATAAGTCGAAAAGACACCCGTGCGAAGGACTGTCAGGTCCTAGACTGCATGTGGGTATACGTATATAAATTCGACAAGCATGGACGGTTTCAAAAGGGCAAAGCACGCCTCGTGGTCAGAGGAGACCAGCAAATCAAGTCAATACATGAAGAAACCTATGCCGCAACACTAGCAGGACGGTCTTTCCGGACACTGATGGCGGTTGCTGCACGTTTCGACCTCGAACTAATCCAGTATGATGCCGTTAACGCGTTTGTAAACGCAAAGCTAGACAAGGACATATTCATGCGCATGCCTCCAGGCTATCGGAAACCAGGAATCATCCTGATGCTCCAGAAAGCGTTGTATGGCCTAAGAGAGTCACCACTCCTGTGGCAAAAGGACCTTATGGCTACGCTGAAAGACCTCGGGTTTGAAACCGTTCCACATGAGCCCTGCTGCATGATCAAAGGAGCTATCATTATCTTCTTCTATGTGGATGATATAGTCCTGGCATATGAAAGGAAGAAAGAGAATGAAATCAAAGAAGTAACAGGAAAGTTACAGAGACGATATAAATTAACGGGGGGAAAACCACTACAGTGGTTCCTTGGAATCGAAATCATTCGAGACCGAGACAAGAAACTTATCTGGCTATCATAGTCAGACTATATTGACAAGATTGCTAACCTATCTGAAGATAGAGATCAGCGACATGACATTCCCATGAGACGCGAAGAGCTAAGACCGTATGAAAAACAAGCTAGCATAGCGTCCATAAGGCGATACCAACGCAAGATTGGATCAATTCTATATGCTGCCGTTATTACTAGACCTGACATAGCTTTCGCAGCATCAAAACTAGCCAGGTTCAACGCAAACCCAGGTCCAGAACACCACAAAGCAGCAGACCAGGTTCTGCTTTATCTGAAGAAAACCAAATCGCTTGCCTTGCAATTCGGCGGAGACGATGAGTTCTTCGTAGCAAGCGATGCCTCGTTTGCAGACAATACAGAGGACCGCAAGAGTTCCCAAGCCTATGTAATGCGATTGTTTGGAGGCACTATCGGTTGGAGAGCTAATAAGCAAGCAACCGTTACTACTTCAACAACAGAAGCTGAGCTACTTGCTCTTGCTCAGGCAGCCAAAGAAGCTATATTCGTATCGCGACTACTTAAGGAACTTGGACTTCAATTAGATGAATCACGGATACGAATACAATGCGATAACATCCAGACAATACAACTGATCAACAAGGACATCACCAAGTTGCAGACAAAACTCCGACACGTTGATATACACAACCACTGGTTGAGACAGGAAGCTCAATTGAATAGAATCAAAGTGGAATACAGACCTACTGCAGATATGGTTGCAGACGGACTGACTAAACCGATGAGCCATACGCCATTCAAGACGTTTATCAAACAAATCGGCCTAGTGGACATCTCCAACCACCTAGAGAAGAGAAAGCTGCCCACACTGGGAGAAATGGAACTTCTAGGTGAAATGGAAAAACTGGAAAACTAAGTAACCCAGCGGATCAGTCTCTGCCTAAGCGGCCTCAACTGGGGGGGTGTGTTAGATTGACGCCTGCGTCCGGATAAAATGCTAGGAAATCTAGCTTAGTTGCATTCTTGCAATATGCTGAAACCGGGAAGAACGGGTAGATACAAAACAGAACCCCGCTTCAACCGGAATGGGTAGAATCACTCAATCAACAACATGAATCACTCTTTGCTCAATGAACCCCAGGTGTATTGCATCAAACTAATATCGTTTATCTAACAGTTGAACTTATGCCCCGATACATGCGATGGTCAAAGCCCGGTTCCACTGTCTGACAGCTGGTAAAGCGCCCAACGCATACTGGTCTCCTCTCGAATGACTCACATACTAATTTGCGCTAGGAATCAATTAAAATAACCTAAAGCATCTTCCATTCTAAGATTAATAGTTACACACTTTCTCTCCAGTAATACTCAATCAATCAACCCAGCCTCTTTTCCATTTTATCGCTAAAATGGTCTTTCACGAGTGAGTAAGAGCCCTCAACCGAGGGCCTTAGATACTAACGAAGCCACACCTAGAATGCAGACAGATCCTGTTCTTGAAATCAAAGACTTGTCTATATCAAGGGCTACTCATACGGATATTCCAGTCATTCAAGCCATAGTCAACAGGGCGTATGCCAAGTATATCGACCGCATTGGTAGACCACCAGCCCCTATGACAGCCAATTACACCGAGCTGCTCACTGCTCACAATGTATTTGTCTTGAAGCTTACTTCGACTAACGATATCGTGGGCTCCATTATCTTAAGCCAGGACGCCGGCGCCAATTCAATCAAAATCAATAACTTAGTAGTCGATACAGTAGCGCAGGGCCGTGGCTACGGAGGTCTGCTTATGCGTTATGCTGAAGCTTTCGCAGAAGCGAAGGGCAGAACATCGCTGACGCTTTTTACAAATGTCAAAATGTATGAGAATGTGGCACTCTACCAAAAAATGGGCTTTGTCGAGACGGAGAGGAAGACTGAAAACGGGTATGAGCGGGTATACTTTCGTAAAGACTTGTGATGGTTTGCTTAGGGTTGGTACATTCATCGGTGTATTAATTGACTTTACATATGACTTGAAATGCCTCGATCAGGCTTACCATGTATCTCGTCCTTTTGCGACTCTCACCAAGCCAATAATCACGGATCTCTCGGGGTCATATTCAAGAGTAAGCTTCATGCGCTTGCGCGTCTACTGAACACCCTTTCCGACTTCTGTCCTATCCACTTTCGTTTCTCATTTCTAGTCGAGCATGCCCACGAGGTTCTATCAATCGAATCTAATTAGGAGTGAGATTGCAAGTTTGCACTTGGAGTCTGTCAATCAAAACAGTCCAATGTACAACATGTGGTGGATCCCCCCCCCCCCCTTTTTTTTTATTCGAAATCGGGATTTGAACGCTATATACTTTTTACTCTGAACATCACTCTATTTTGAAAATAATGAAGTCTTCCTTCTCCATATTTATCGGTATCGCTGACTCTATCTCTGTTGCTTTTCTTAGGGTTGGAACGCGTCTCTGAGTAAAGGAGGTCCTGCTTTTGGCTTCCAAGAAAATAACTCTGGTTACTGGAGCTGGCGTTCTGATGAGGTCTGTGCTATTAATTAGGATTACGATTGAATTTACTTTGACGATAGAGATTATTAAAGGACTTTAGAGATGACGAATTTTTATGAGGACGGTTCGACACTATATTTAGTAATGAGAACTTGGTTATATTTAAATAAGCCTTTCTCTTTAGCTTTGTGTAAGAGATAAAGAAAATTGATAATCGAAAACTTGGACAAGGCTATTCGGATGTGTCGTGAGGCTGTGGAGCTTACCCTCTAGGATGACCTAGGAAGGGTGTTATAGTTGAATACCCTTGAAATCAAAGTTTAGAAGAAAACAAGAGTAACGAGGACTAAGGTGCTAATTTAACATCTCGAAGATACCGTCAGACTTATGCAACAAGCTATTGATGCTGCTAATCCAGAGCATCCACTTCTGGTTCATAGGTCATCAAACCTCTATGGCTATTTTTCTACGAATGGGACAGATGTTTTGATGCAAAAGTCATTGACCCGGCTGTCCGTTGGAGTCGCTGGGTTTTTGAAAAAGCACCTTCCATTCATCAAAACTGGTACTCGTGTTGCACACGGTCTAAAAGGTTAGGAAACTTCTGCTTTGCTATGACGATTTCGATCGACAGATTTATGACCAGAAAGGCACAGTGATCCAATAAAATTATAAGCTTACTTGATAAGCTAATAATCCTAGATACTAAAAATTCAACTCCGTTCAAAAATGTTGCAGATCCAAATTTAGATGTGGATACTGCGGCTAAACTTTAAACATACATAGTAAAACTTGGAAAGACCGCAGTGCCATGGCCATTTGACTGCTTAGCTTGAAGTATATTCGCATTGATATGTTGTTTCCTTAGGCCAGTGCTGTCAGGCCGCCCCGCGTACAGCACCACATAAGTTTCAAAGTCGCCATGACCAAAACCTCTCAACCAACTACCTCAGCTCTAGTCATAGCCCTAAGTGACAGTAAAACCAAACGCTGTATTTTCTCCTAGCGCTGTGATTAAGGTCGAGAATATTTAGCCTTTCATTAACACAACTCCCCCGAAAGTCTATGAAATCGTTGATTTGACACAAGAGGACGATGGCAAATATGAAATGGGTTCCAACACACACATCCTTGGGACGTCCATGACGTCCTTCAGAGGGTTGGAGCTCCAGTTTACTACACTGTAAGATAAGGTATTGCGGTTTTAGAAAACTCAATTGGATGAACAGCCCTACAAGAAGGTAAAGCTATTACGCCGGCTTGTTACTATAAAAGAGTTCTGCATCCCAGTGGCCGATGATGACTGAAGGATCCGACGCTGCCGCACTCTGTAAAGTTAATCTGAGGTGCCCGTCATTTTATACAATTGTACTTGAGGCGCCACAGAAATTTTATATACAGAAAAACCTTCCTCCGTATACTCTCCGAGCCGTTAATTGGCCTCCATCTGCGATCTGTGTGTACAGTAACAACACTTATCGCGGTTGCTGTTCCACTGACCCATTTGCTTTATCGGACTCTTCCGGTTTTGATACCTTAACAGAGCATCCACGCTCAACTACTTCCTCTTCTGCTTTCACTCCCGCCACTTCTCTCCATCTTTAATAAGGTCAATTCCTTTGAGCTTTTCTTCATAAACGACAACGTGAATCAACAGTCAAACACAATCTAATGTCATATTGCCGACTGCCCCAGGTGCAACGTCAAAAAATAAGACTCATGAAACTGTGTTAGATCTTGTGATTCGTCTAGCTATTGGCCTTGGGGTTCCGCTCTTGATTGGATTTAGTTTTCAGGCCTTTCAAACCAGAAGGCGAAAGAGAAAACTCAAACAGGGTAAATTAGCATGCGGAATAATGAGCAACTTCAGACTGTCCTTAGGGGCGGTTTTCAGTTTGAGGAAGAGATTACACAATTTTTATCCATGAGAAAACCGAATCACTTGCAGAATTACCGGTAGAGCAGCCCGCAGAGTTATCAAACGACGATCAAAGGAGATCATAGGCTATGATAATGTGAGGATCGACAATGCTTAAGAGCAACCTTAAACGCAACCCCACAAGAGACCCACCCGTTTGCACATGGCCGCGGATAAAGTGGATTCCTATGGGTCCGCTCACGAGGTTTCCTCTCCATACGGCAGGATACTATTTTCAAAACAACTGTGATACGATGTCAAACAGAGCCATTTCGTCCTACAACTGGTCGTTAAAAGGAGTCAAGCGTACTTAGTCACGGTAAATAAAGCGGCGGTCGGTACACCGTTGGGTTCAAAGATGATGTTCGTTGCCATGAGGGAAACCCCAGGTCAGGCTTTGTCAGAATTTACGAATGCTGAGATGAGGGCCATTATCGAAGCCGAAATACAGAAAAGTGGCCTGGAGTACGTTCAATCTATCCCTCTCCGAGAAATGGTTCTGCAACGTTTCTTCTTTTCGCAGGACACGGCAATGCATATTCTACGAATCCTGTGCAAGGCACATTACTATTAACGGTTGAAAAGATGCTCTCTTAACAGTAAACAGCTTACCTGAATTAAATCTTGATTCCCAATCCCTATATTTTTTCTTACTCTCAGCATGCGGAACAGTTGAATACCAACTGAAGAAAGTCGTCGATGAGATAATACATCTGTCGAGCGCCATCCCACTTACTAGTCTCCGAAACATTGTGAGCACACTAAGGAAAGGAAACGAAAGATGAGCAGTGCGCAATGATTGTTCTAATTACGGAGACTGACAATGACGAAGTTGTCTCGCGTACTTTGATTCAGGCTACACGTGACCTTTGAGCTTAGTGTGTCAGAAGGCGCAAGGGAATGTCCAGGACGAGGCAAACTTGAGGAACCTTGACATGAGCAGCCGATTGCGAGCAGAGGAAATCGTAAACTCAACGCCTTTCGTCCATTGCCGGGGTAAGTAGGAAGTCAGGCATGCCCGGTATTTTAATGTTGGTGACAACCAGGTTGAGGAGCCAATTAATGGTCTCACGCACCATATCATTATCGCCAGACTTCAGCCCTCATCATTGTTATCTCTAAGCCAACCAACACTCACTTCAAGGTCAAAGATGCTTAGGGCTTTCTGACTCGTACGATGCCTATCACTCACGCACATGAAAAGCGTCTTAGGCAAAATTAGGTACAACCTCTAGTTAAGAAGCAAGTTATTTATGTACAAAATGGAGAAGTATATAACAATTGAAAAATAACACGGAGCCGGTGTCCGGCTATCCTCTTAAACATATACAGAAGTGTATTTTATAGGTCCCCCCCCTTCCTCTGTTTTCACAGTGTCTACCAGTGTTTCGGTCTCTGGAGCCTACATTTAGTAGACAACAGGCCAACCACTGCTGTAACGGATGAGGTTGATACCGAGCTGCGCAGTACCAGCGTTGTTGTAGTAGTGGTAGACCAATACGTCGGCATCATTGTCGGTGAACACAGCATTGTGGCCAGGGCCGTGGACGGCGCCGTGGCTTGACATGACACGAGTGCCACCACCCTGCATCATCGACTTGCCGCTCTTGTCGACGTAGGGGCCCGTGACGCTGGTGGAGCGACCGACCATAATGCGGTAGGTGCTATCGGCGCCCTTGCAGCATCGGTCGAACGAGACCCAAAGGTAGTAGTAGTTGCCGTGGCGGGTGATGAAGGGCGCTTCGATGGCGTTTTCGGCATTGTCAGGGCGGGTGGCAATGGAGATGATCTTGTTGTTGGCGGGCTTGCCGGTCTTGCTGCTCAGCTCCACCATCTTGATGCCGGACCAGAACGAACCGAAAGACATCCACCATTTGCCTTGGGCATCGATGATCAGGTTAGGGTCGATGGCGTTGTAGCCGCTGTTGTCGGTGGACTCAATGACCAGACCCTGGTTGGTCCACGAGCCGGATGCACCCGTAGTGCTCGTAGCAAGGAAGATGGCAGAGCGGCTAGAACCGAAGCTCGAGGCGGAGTAGTAAAGGAAGTATTTGCCGTCGTGGTACGAGAGGTCTGGGGCCCAGAGGTTCTTTTCACCCTTGGTGTACTTGGTAGTCCATGGCGCTCCGTTCGGGAATGCAGAGCCGGCGTCCTTCCAGTTGGTGCGGTCGGTAGACGTCTTGAGGCCCACGTTGTCCGCGGTGAATGCGGCCAGGTAGGTACCGCCGGGGGTCTTGACAACCGTCGGGTCGTGAATGAAAGTGTCGCCCTTGACCGGGCCGGGGGCGACGTTTTGTCTCGACTCGAGAAGAGGCGTAGCCACGGCGGCGATGGCCAGCATGCTGCCAATGGCAAAATGGCGTAAGAATAACATTGTGGGGGGTTTTTTCAAAGGTATTAATTGCGGACCGGCGCGAAACTGGTTGAAAGGCTGGTATTGCTGGAATTGGAGGGTTGATCTGCGATATCATACCGATGCCGTAAACTGTCGTCTTCTTATACGGGCGTTCATTGCCAGGTCTTTCTCCTTTTCGGATGTTTTACGCCTAGGATTCCACCTAGAATGTAGTGCCAAGTCCTCGCCTATTGAAAGTGGCCCTCCTCCTGGTAAGCATAATCCACAACAATGCACCGGAAAATTCCTTGTCGGGAATGCCCCGGCATTAGTGACGCTTCAGAATAATTAGCCAAGGGTGCGCTACCCCGAAATGGCGTAGCTTGTCCCGCTGGCAACCCTGAACTAGATGCAGGAACTCGTCTGTTATCATGCACAACATGGTGGTTTGAATAACTTGTGGGTGGGTTGGTTGGCAACCGGCAGTTTCGGCCGGCAAGCTCGGGTGATGATTGGGGCGCGTAAAATTGGTTGTTTAAGGAGATATCTAGGAAATAGATTGGTTTAGATGGCTCTCTTTACGCGGATGCCGTATTGTTTATTTATTCTGTGCCACTATTTACGCGACAGAGAGGGCAGCACTGAATATATCATGAAAAGAGGATCTCGAGCTTATTTTGTACCTGTTGAAGCACCACTAGAGGAGAACCTTAGCGGCTCGGTAAACACTGGTATTGCTGTGCATGACGAAATAATTTGAAATGTTTTTTTTTTCTTGCGTGCCAGTTCTAGGAAGTGCTTGTGCAATCGGTTATGGCGGCTCCCTGGTCAAAGTATCCAAGCTTGGTATTAACCTGGCTGGGCAATGACAGTGCCTCCTTGTTGATGTTACATTCTGTAAGGTGGCTTGTGACTTTGGAGAGAGAAATAATGGGCCTTGAGGATAGGACAACAGAGTTCATGAATCTAGAACTGAAACCAGAGCTAAGCAACCAGGAGATCATCACGAAAGCATGCCAGTCGACCCCCGGTGCTCTTTTTGTTCTGTATGTCATTGCTAAGGGGGAAGTAATTTGGTATACTGGTCGTCTTATAACATGGAGTAAGTTTGCCGCACACAGGCTATGTGTAGCTGCTTGCAAGGCATTGAGGCCCTCTGGAGGGGATGATTCTAACCGGTGGCGACCATCAGAACCTGGCGGTACCGCACCAAGGCATATCTTTATGCCAACGGGAGAAGCAATGTTTTGGGATATAAATGCTGCTACATGCCTTCGATCTGCCAGAACGCGGGGAACTATCTCATCAGCGCTACTGGAAGCGCCATGCGATGGCTTATGAACTTCGCGTATGCGTTTGCCGGGGGTTGACGCCTTGCCGGTAATATCCGGCTCTCAAAGGTACACCACCATTCAGGGTCACGCGGATGCCAACGGAGAGCACCACATTCGAATCTAGCATATACCTGCGACGAGTGGCCTGTGGCACTGTGGGTCTAGGGTCTCAGCGCAGCTTTAAGATCAAATCAAACAAATAAATGATCAAAACAAATAGTTAAGTCAGGGCTCCTCAGCAAACTATTTGAGTGAAATACAAGAGTACCATTTGATTGAATATTTGATGAATTATTATGGATCTATGATATTTACTCTACATGGCACAAAAAAAAAGCAAGTAAAAAGCCTTGGCTATGACCCTGATTTGAACCAAAACTTCGCCTTTAGACCTTTTAGCCTCCGAAAGGTGGGGCGATATCGAAAAGATCTCGGCACCTGCTGCGCCTCTAGCTATTCCACCAATCAAATCAAGCAAAACGTCTGATAATCAAACCATGCCCCTTCGTTTGATTTGTTTGATCTAAGAGGTGCGCGGTCTAAAGGTGGTTTGGTCTGCCCAGATATGGATGCATACAAACCATACACACGCTGCGCTCCGCAAAGACTTACTCCAACTTGAAGTCGGAACAAAACCAGTGGGCATCCATCTATCCCATCGACTGCGAGAGGGCTACAGATGTATTATGAGCCATAAATCGGTTAGGGAAAGGCTTTCCTCCAATTTCACGGCTAAAACATGTACCCCTCTTTTCTCGATATAATCCATGTGTTCCTTCATAACATCTACTATATCGAAATGGAAGACAGCTTTACCAAGACCACATCAACAGCCTCGCCATTATACCCTCCCTTGCAGATGTATCTTGGCCTTCTACATCCACAGCCATTATCTTCAGCTTAGCATTCGGCCGGTTCCAATGGCCTGCCTTTGTTCCGCTCCAAATAATCAGACTACTTAGAGACTCTGCGGATGCGGATTCTAAGCAGGGCCCATACCAGCTTGGAAGTGATTTAAATATAGTTGCTCATCCAGTAGGAGAAGAAGATGTCGATGTCCCTTGTAGGTATTGCGATCGGATGCCATATCGAGCACCGAAACCACTTGTTATCCGCCTTGCAACCTTACATCACGGCTGGTGATATCGTCTCTCAAGTGAATAAATACGTCAACGACTTGCGGAAAAATATCCTTGAGGCTTTGGATTCTTTTGGAGAGCATGCTGGAGAAAGACCCTGGGATTTCTCTCTCTGGGGTTTCTTCAGCCATGACGTCATTTAGATTGAAGAAGTATGCTCTGCAGAAGAGCTAAACAAGGCTTCGAAAACCCGTGCAAATAATGTGCAGCAGTGTCGTCCGGATTTGCTCTACCAAGCAGTGTATCATACTTTACAAGAGTGAACGACACTCTGTTTGTGACACAGTTTGTATTTTGATTCAACTCTCTATATGTAACACCAGTGAAGTAAATGGTCGTATGGCAGATTCTGGGGACTAGCCTCAGAATCATCTACAAGCGTACTTACTTAGGGTGATATATGTATTTAGTCAGGTATATGTTCTGGTTCTTGAATTTAGAGAGGGGTAACATTCCATTACGATCCTAATTTTGTTAGTTGAACATACCCAATTGACGAGGCAGGATATACGCTTTCAGGTTCTGTTGACACAACCTACTTGTAGGTTTCACAGGGGGTGAAACGGAATTCCGTTCGTCAATAACAAATAACAGTAAATTGGTTCTAATCGATGGTTCATGATTGTTGCGATAGTTGGAATACGGAGTCGTGTGGCACTTCCAGCCACACGCCCGCCAGGCTGAGAGGCCCAAGCCTCCCAGACCCACGTGACAGGCCAAGGGGGAATATCCCCACCTTCTAGTCAACAACACCACTTTCAACAATCATGAACCATCGATTAGAACCAATTTACTGTTATTTGTTATTGACGAACGGAATTCCGTTTCACCCCCTGTTTCACCCCCTGTGAAACCTACACTGATCAGTGGTAAACCTCACAGTTGCCATTAATTTGGTTAACTTCACAATTACCACTCTGCTACGGACAAACCGCAGATCAGCAAGGTCAACACCAGAAGAGACGACTTCTTGAACTGGATACCCAAGCCCAGGTAAAAGTAGGGATTTCGTGCTAACGAGAGAAGAAGCGAGAGTAACTGGGATCTACGGAAACCAGCAGAAGAAAGCTTCTTTTCCTCGAATCTACCAGCAATCCGATTATTCGAGTAACCTAGGGACTGCTACGCTCACCCTGGGCGGGATAAGGTTAATCGCAGCCAATTATCGCTGGCAAGAGCGTTCCATCACGCGTTTTCAATCACCAGAAGAAGAGACCTACCGAATCGACGGTCTTCCAACCTCTTCACGCCACAAGGGCGAAGATTCACGAATCCCACAAGGGACAACAACTTCCCCAACTACAACTATCCCCCACGCGCGGTGCCAATCACGAGGCGCCCGCTAGTTTCTCAATAAATCCCCAGACGAGGTGCCAACCGCGAGGCGCCTGCCACAAGAGACCTCCCTACCAGAAGAAGAACACGCCGAAAGGCGAGCGGAGACTACCGGCGGTAATCCGCCTATACAGCTATACGTATACGCCTCCGAGGCTGCGGCTTAGGAGAAACGCACGTGGTTGTGGGCGTCATAAGGCCAACTGTCCGCTAGATTCTAAACTTCCCAACAGTGAGGAGCGAAGCCCGAAGCGAGAAAGAGAGATTCACGAGAGAATCTACGGTAGAACTCTCTCCCTACCAATTCGAGACCTGTGTATACCCTCACACCCCTCGAGAACATCAGCGAGAACGGCGCCGACGGAAACAAACGACGAACCGACGAAAATCCCCGATTTCACGATTCTTTCCCCTTAGAATCGTAATATCCCGAATCGTCTTTTGACTCCCACTTCCAGGCCTGCATCTTGCACCAATCGCAGCTGACGCTGTTGAGGATTAGAATTCAAGATTCTGAACAGAAGTAATCCTTTTATACTGTCAGAATGGAGCGAAATTCACGAGAAGGATCGCCCGCGAGCGGCGTCACTGCCAAAAGCCAATCAACAGTCCCCATCCCACAGAGAATCGAAAGTATGATCGATCCAGCAGTATGGGGCAACTGGGCAATCGACCTTACAAACGCTAGCCCACAGCAACTGGGTTCCTATATGGGTTTCCTACTTGAGACCTATGAGAAGAGGAATCTCACGGGCCTCGAGCTATGGAACGAAGTTTCTCCCGATTTCGCCGACTGGTCAGAAGAAGACTTCCAGAACGTACCTCCCCCAATCCTACGATTCTTCAGAGACTATTTAATCGGTAACGGCGTCTACGTCGAAATGGATGGCAAGAAAATCTCGAAAAACGTGGCATTAGCCCTCAAAAAGGAAGAATTCCACTACTGGTCACCCCAAGAACTCGAACAAGGCGTCAAGAGATATCGCAACCTGAAGGCTCTGATAAAAGACCCCGAATTCCACGAAGAGATCACGAGACCGGCAACAGTAGCCAACAGCACAGGAGGAAGAGTCGAACCAACCCTACAGCCACCTCCTCCACAAGAACAACAACAGTGGCAACTACCGTACCGACCGCCACATCCCACGGTCTCTCCGTTAACAGACTTCCAACCATACGAGTCAACAGACCGTATCGGAAAGCAATTAACAGAATTCGCGAAACTGTACCC